CTCAGAGATCCTCGAATGACCAGCCCCTACATCCCTGTGGCTATTTTTCTAAAAAACTGACGGAAACAGAACGTAGATACGATATAGGGGATAGGGAATTGTTGGCTATCATTTCAGCACTCAAAGAATGGCGGCATCTATTAGAGGGGACATCTGAACCGATCATCATCTTCACTGATCACAAGAACCTCTCCTATTTTGGAGAAGCTAAAAGAATGACTGACAGGCAGATTCGTTGGTCTTTATTCCTAACACGTTTTAATTACTTAGTGACATACAGACCCGGTTCTAAGAATACAAAAGCAGATGCCTTATCTCGGCAACATGAACACATATCCCCACCAGTAACCCATTTATCTTCTATAATCCCTACTTCACAAATAGTGGCTACGGTACGTACTAAAATCTCTTCTAGCTTAATAGAAGTATTGTCTAAATTTCAAAACCACAACTCCCTGACTATCCCTCAGGGAAAATTATACGTACCCTTCAATTATAGAAGACGAATCCTATCCTTGGTACACGACTCTAAGATTGCCGGTCATCCCGGTATCCATAAAACAGAAGCACTACTCGAAAAGCAATTCTGGTGGCCTTCTTACAAGAAGGACATTCGAGAATATGTCCTGGCCTGTAACATTTGTTCCTCTAGTAAGTCTCCTAAAAGTCGTCCTTTAGGCCTCCTCATGCCGTTACCTATTCCCGAAATGCCCTGGTCAAGTATCGCCATGGATTTCATAGTAGACCTGCCACCTTCAAAAAATCACCGGGTGATTCTAACTATCATCGATAGATTTTCCAAAATGACCCACCTAGTCCCTTTAATTAAACTTCCTTCATCCTCAGAACTGGCCACGATATTCATAAGGGAGGTGGTTCGTTTACATGGTATCCCTACAGACATAGTCTCTGACAGAGGCTCACAGTTTATTTCCAGGTTTTGGAGGGCGTTTTGTGTTCAGTTAGGTATCAAACTTAACCACTCCTCTTCGTACCATCCCCAATCCAACGGAGTTACTGAGAGAATGAATCAGTCACTAGAGCAGTACCTCCGTTGCTTCATCTCCGATCACCAAGATGATTGGAAGGAGTTACTCCCTTGGGCTGAATTCGCCCACAATAACTGGGTTCACGAATCAACACAACATAGCCCCTTTTTTGTAAATTATGGCTTTGACCCTACTACTCTTCCGAGTTCTTTTTCATCCTCCGCTGTGCCTAGTGTTGACTATACTGTGAGGAATATGAAAGAAACTTGGTTAGGGGTCAAGCGTATCCTGACTCATAAGGCCGATGCTCAAAAACGCAAAGCGGACACCCGGCGCAAGAATGCTCCGAATTTTATAGTGGGAGATAGAGTGTGGTTGAGTACACGCAATATTAAATTACGAGTCCCATCTATGAAATTTGCTCCGCGTTTCATTGGTCCTTTTAGGATCCTCCAACGGATTAATCCAGTCTGTTATCGCCTGGATTTACCAGCTAATATGAGGATTCCCAATTCCTTTCATGTTTCTCTTCTGAAACCTTTGATTTGTAATCGCTTTACTCGTAAACCCAGGTCTCCTCGTTCTACTCTCATTGATGGCCAAAACGAATACGAGGTTAGGTCTATTTTAGACTCTCGGATCTCTAGAGGTCGGCTCCAGTATCTGTTGGATTGGAAGGGGTACGGTCCCGAGGAAAGGTCATGGGTTGATGCCTCGGACGTGCACGCGCCTCGCCTAGTCCATTCCTTTGCTAGGCGTCGTTCTCGCGGGCCCCGTCCTGCCCGCCCTGGGGGCGGTCCTCGAGGGGGGGGTACTGTAACGATACCTTACCTGGGTCCGCCGATCCCGCGCGGCAAGACAGCTTCCCCGGCTACTTCCGGGAGGCGGCACAGCCTCTCGGACGCTGCCCGCTCGCGGCAAAATCCGTTTTATGACGCGGCGCATGCGAGCCGACGTCATAATGGTTTTGCCGCGAAAATTCAAATGCGGCCACGCTCCCGAACCTTTTGGGGGCGTGGCTTTAAAGTGACACACACATTAGTATAAAAGGGCATTCCTGTCCACACCTCAGTGCCCTAGTGTGGTTCTTGATTGTTCCCCTAGTGCTCTTTTACTGTTTTGCTGTTTTTCTGGTATTTTGACTCTTGGCTTTCGTTCTGACTATTCTCCTATCTGGCTCCCTGACTTTTGGCTTGGTTTTTTCGTATATCCCGATTTCCGTACTCCTTTGACCCTCGGCTTTTTCTTGACTATTCTTTGACGTTAAGTCCGGCCACCCTAAGGTCCGGTATACGTCCCTTTCAGGGTTACCATCTGTGTGAAGGGGTCACTATCGTGACAGGAAACCCCAATATCACGTCATTTGAAAGTTCATCATCTGAATTCTGCTAACAAATTAAAGTTTATGGGGATAGAACATATCCCACAAACTCAAAGGAAGGGGGATTGGGATAGGAAATTGAGACAGCGCGAGTCCTACTGGATCTACAAACTCAAGACCCTCTCCCCTGCAGGCTTGAATGAGGGTTTCTCATTCGCTGCCTTCCTTTAATTTGCCTCTACTTTTTCTTCTTTTTTACTCTCTCTGTTTCTGATGTATAATTGGCAGGGATATACCTACCAAATCCTTATATGGATACAATACATTGCACTGTATATATGTTACACGTATCACACTACCTTTTATATGTAGTATCTTGATTTATTTATTATATTCTTCCTATCCACTTATTTCTTTCCCTTATAAAATATGGGACTATGCTGACCCAATGAGAATGGATCAATAAGTATCACTCCTTAAGCCTTTATATATATGACTTTTGAATTGCATAATTATTACTTAGCCAAATTCTTTTGGCTGATCCATCCCTGTGTATTACGATCCAGGGATTCTAGTATCATTTAAGTAAGGATATGGGATCATACTGATCCAATGGTAGTTAAGTTGATTTATAAATATCATCCTTCAAAACTCTATGTATATAACCTGTGAAGTGTACAGTAATTACTTAGCCTTTTGGCTGATCCATTTTTGTGCATTATGGTCCAGGGATCCAAGCAACCGCCCATTGTTTCCTTATATCAGTGTAAACTATAGCACTCCTATGGCACTCATTTTGTGCTCTCGTCATTAAGGCATTTTCATAATCATACCCCTTAAACGAGTGTTCTATCTCGTCGGGTTTCAAACAGAGGGTTCTTCCCTCGAATATGGGGTACTGCTGTCACTCAGCAGTTTAACCACTCCCACACTGCCCCCACGTAGGCCCCACCCGATCCCGGAATCACGCCCCTCCACTCACGTCACGATTTACGTCACGTGATGCGGCCGATAAGGGAAGGCATTGGCTAAATACCGGACCAATGAGGAACTAGCAATTACGGCAGGATACCACACACGGCATCTCACAATTTTAAATGATTGCAACAAAAGGTATTTAAATGGATACAGGGAACTCCAAAAGTTTATTGCTCCTGACGACGGCGTGCTGAAACGCCGAAACGCGCGTCGAGCGTATTTTATTTAATTATTCTCTTTTGCTCACTTTTTTGGTAGCACTTATGGATTTAGTTGTTTAAATCTTTGTAATTTTTAGGACTTATAGGGATTAGGATCCGGGTAGGCACTTGTGGCAACACAGTGCCGAGGTAACTAGGGAAAGCTTCCTACTGATAGGAGTCTGTCTTTGGGAATTTGGGGTAGTTTAATTTCTCCTATAGAGTGTTCTAGCTACTTCTATACACCTGGATTGGTTACCTATGAGACTTAGGACGCATGATGCTCAACCTTTAGGTTAGAATTTGCCAGGCAGTCTCTCTTTCTTATAGCAGACACCTGTTTTTGTAACTGTCTCTAGATGGTTTACCATTTAAACTCCTTTCTCCCACCTGTCCTATTTTTAATTTGTGTTTTCCTTTAGGATTTTTAAAGGTAGGGACCCCCTTCCCCTCTCCTATTACTCTCCCACTGAGGACTTATTTAGTCCCCTTTCTTTCTTTCTTTCTTTTTTATATTAACTTCGTGGGTTATTCCCCAAATAGGGAGAGTAATCTTAGGGCGTTTTGGCACTAATTCACTGGTCAGGTATTGTGACCTCTGAATCAGAGCCATCACTATTCCTTTTCTCCTATCTGCCAAGCTTACATTCCTTCTTACCTTGGACAGGTATCTGCAAAGTATGTATCTGTTTTAACCAAGGACAGATATTCACAAAGCTGGCATCATTTCCCTTCATACTGAAGGCAAGTATTTAGAGAACATGCAATCCTTCTCACTAAGGCTACTTATTGCAGAGCGGGTATCCTTTCTTACCAAATACAGGTATCAAAAGAGCACATCTCTAGCCCCTTTGGACAGACAATCCAGGATATATATCTGCAGAGTATTCATTCTTTCTAACCCTGGACAGGTATTTTCAAAACCGTCCTAATTTCCTGGGCAGGTATGTGCAAATGATCAATAATCCCAGGTATCTCATGATTATCACACCTCTATTTAAGGCTCAAGTCCTTCCTTGGGACAGACAACAGCTATAAAGCCTTGAGTTTAACACTAAATGGACATGTTCAAGAAGAAGTTTTTTTGTAACAAGGAGCTCTGGAGAACATTGCTGATAGCTTTTGATGGGCAGCTGTGGGATTTTATGTTTGGATTAAGATCAGCAGAATTTTTTATTTATTTGGATAGATTATAACATAACACCTGAACAATTTATTTCACAAAATTTGATCTCTTGCGGCTCAAACTGTCAAGCATTAAGTGTAGTGAGACCAGTCCCTTCATTACTTATGTCTGTTTTTGTAAAATATGTGCTCCAGGAAATGTCATAATTTTATATTACTTAAAAATAATATATATATATATATATATATATATATATATATTAATAATAAAATATTACAACTGCTGTCCTTGAAGTATTTTTTAATGCATGTTATCCTTGCTCTTTAATGGCAATCAACTTTGCTCACATTTACTGCAGCCCCATGAAGACTCATAGGCGGAGGAGGGCCTTGACAGCTTGTACTGAGCAAGACAGTAGGGATTGGTAGAGAGGGTGAGGGGGTGGAACGTTATGGGGGGTGAAGTGTTTAAGGGGCTAGGGACCATTACACGGCAGCCATTTTATGGGTAAATCTGTCAATCTGTCTCTTTTGTTCTGTATCTGTCTTCTGTGCTGTCCCCCTTGGTTCCTTTCTGTCTCTCTTTCTCCTGGTATATTTGTCCTCTGTATATGTGGGTTCTGTGTGTGAGTTCTGTGTGTGTGCTCTGTGTGTTGGTTCTGTGTGTGTTCTCTGCTCCCTCTTTGTGTGGCTCTCCTCCCCCCCTTTTTGTCTTACCTGTAGAGGCAGCATGAAGCCAGCGGTGGATCCGGGGACCAGCTGGGACCAGCGGGAGGACCAATGGTGAGGCCAGTGAGGAAGGACGAGGCCTCCCCAGAGACTCAGCCCGGAGGATCCAGCGGGCTGCAGGCAGCCTGTCAGGATAGGTGGGGAAGCGGAGAGGGCCGGGAGAAGGATCCGGTATGGCTGCTGGAGGTCGCCGCAGCCGGATGGATGGCTGGGGTGGAGGTCGGAAGGAGAGCCAGCAGGAGGAGCTCAGTAATCCAGCCATGAGATAGGTCCTCCTGCACTCCCTCAGGTAAGTCCCGATCTTGGGTTGGGGAAGGGGTTTCCCGGCGCAGCAGGGTGTTGAGTAAGCACAACAGGCATGGGAGGCAGGGCAGGTGTTCAGAGGCAGCACTCCCCAGATCTGTTTCTCCTTCCAGGATGTTGGAGCCCCACAGCCAGCAGCAAGTTCAAGGGCACTGGTGGTTCATTGCATGCAAGATCCTGGAGTGGCAAGTCCGAAGTCCTCGGAAGCAGCCGGTTTGGCGGTTCCAGATCAACAGGATCCTGGAGTTTCACATTGGGAGTCCACATTTAATGGAGTGAACACTGGTAAGGGCAACTCTAGTCCTGGCACGGCACTCACAGGGAGGAAGGGGCACACTGAAGGGGTGACTGGCTTACTAACAGGCCAACAAGCATTTTTACAGTCTTGGGGGAGGCACAGGGGCCAAGGACCCACAAACTGTGTCGGGGGCGTGGGTGCGCAATGCTGAGACACCTGGGGGGGGACTGATTCTGCACTGGTGGCTGACAACACGGCGGGGATGAGAGTATCTAAGGTAGGGCAGGGCTAGGAGAGCGCGCAGGCAGTATTAGAAGGGGTACTGGACGCAGCTCGCCTCAATTCTTATGTCTCTTTCTCTGGCCACCTGGGGGTCCATTTGAAGGCAGATGTCAAGGAGTGCATCTGGAAGGGTGAGTACTTAAAGATGTTCTCGTTGCTTCCTCTCAAAGAAACGGTGGACCTAAAAGAGGATGAGAAAAAAGAGGATAAGGGCAAGAATTAGGAGGAGGAGAGAAAGAAAAGATATAGGAAGTTGCCAAAGACCTTTGGGAAATGGCTCTGGGTTTCTGTATCTTGGCCAGCGTAATTGGTGAAAAGGCGCCGGACAAGTGTTCGGCTCTCTTTTGTTATTTGGAAGGGATTTGGGACACCTATAGGATCTATGACAGGCTGGTCTGGTGGTGCTATGACGAGCAATTTTGTCAGAGCCTGGCAGAGAATCCTGGTATGCACTGGGATCAAATGGACATCACCTTGTGTCTTAAGCTCATGATGGCCCAGAAGGCTTCGCCCTTTCCCGGGGGTGGGAGGTGGAAGGGGCATGGGTGCAAGCACCTCCTCATCGGCCTCAGGGAGGAAGGATGTTGCTGGCTGTTTAACAACAGCCAGTGTAATTGGGGTTCCTCCTCCTCCTGCAGGTTCAGGCATAAATGTTAAGGATGCAGGGGTTCCCATAGCCTCTCTAAGTCTTTCAAGTGGGGAAGGACAAGTGGGTCGGTGAGGCAGTTGGGGACAAAAGGGGAGTACGCTGGTGATCAGAGAAAAGATGCTACTGTGGCTAAACCGCTACGGTAGGAAGGGTGACGCCGAGTTTCTGGGTCAGGGTTTCGAGGGGGGGTTTAGAATCCCATTTATTCTGTGGGAGTCGGTGGTATCCTTAAAAAACCTTTGGTCGGTGGCTACATTTCTGGATGTGGTGCGGGAAAAGTTGAAGTGGGAGGTGGGTTTAGGGCGCATGGCAGTGCCGTTTTGCCTCCGTTCCGTTGCCCAATTTAAGAGTTAAGTCGTTGGGGTTAGTCCCTAAGAGGGAAAAACGTTTTGCTTGATACACCATCTGTCCTTCCCCAAGGGTCTTTCAGTTAATGCAGACATTGATCAGTTAATACGGACATTGATTAAAATGGGCCAGTTATGGGACATGATTTTTTGTACTGAGTCCCAGTATTGGTCAAATGTGCTCAGGAGCATGTTTAAAAACAAAGGGTATCCCAACAAAACCCTAAAAAGAGACTACCAACGAGCAATGACAATAAACAGAAGTGAAAACCTAAGAACCATCAGACCGAAGGCAGAAACAAAGACAATTAGGTGTGTGGGCACATTTGACCAATACTGGGACTCAGTACAAAAAATCATGTCCCATAACTGGCCTATTTTACAACATGATACAGATTTGAATAAAAATATTGGCAATTTTCCTCAAATTACGGCACGCAGAGCTAAGAATCTGAGAGACTATTTGGTCCGCAGCCATATAGAACCAACAACAAAAAAAGCACAATCCACATGGTTAACACAAACCCGTGGAATTTATCGTTGCGGACACTGCAAAGCCTGCCAATATGTTAAAATCCGTATCAAGCTCCAAAACAAAAAAAGAATATAAGATTAAAGAGTTTATTAACTGTAGCTCCACACAGTTTATCTACCTAATAACATGCAGCTGTGGGATCCAATATGTAGGGAAGACCTACCAACAACTAAGATGTAGGATCCTGCAACACATTTGCTCCATTACAAACCCCAACATATCTACTCCAGTCTTTAACCACGTCAGGAACTACCATCAGGCAGGGCCGGATTAAGAGCATACTGGGCCTGGTGCTGACAAATATGATGGGCCTAATTACGGAATCTTTTCAACCAAAAACACTAAAACAGTCATACCTTCCAAGCGTCATGTATCTGATGGAGATGGTGTTAGAAGGAAAATCAAAGGATGCAGCTATATGAAAACACATACTCTATGCTAATCTCTCTCTAATTTATGTTTTCATCTTTCAAGTAAATCCATAACCCCTAACAGCAGTGTCCAGTGAAATAGGAAGTCAATGGGCGAGGTAAAAGGGTGTGCCACTGGTGCAAATCACGTGACCAGACCTGCCAAAAGGGGTGAACATGCCCAGAAAGGGGGCATGTCTGTCCAAAGAATTTGAAGGACAGCCTGGCATGAATGCATGTCAGGCTGCCCGCCAATCCTGCAGGCTGTCCAACTAAGGGCATACTATGCAGGCAGCACCATGAGCTTGACATAAATGCATCTAATGATGCGCTCACTCCGTGCTTTCTAAGGACTGTCCCCTAGCACACGCTGGTCCACTTGTCTCCTTACCTTCTTACTAGCAGGCAGAAGTTCCTGGTATATAGTCTGAGACAGAGTAAAGGTGTATGTAGTGAGTGTAGTGTTTGTAGTGAGTGTAGTGTATGTAGTGAGTGTAGAAGAAAGGGGACATGCCACAGTGTTAGAGAGACCAGCGTCTGCATTACCTAAACTAATTTTATTGTCAGCTAGTCCACACAAGTTTTGTTCCCATACATCCCTCTTAAGCTTCCAAACTTAAAGGGACACTATAGTCACCAGAAGAACTACAGCTTATTGTATTTGTTCTGGTAAGTAGAATCATTCCATTCAGGCCTTTTGCAGTAAACACTGTCTTTTCAGAGAAAATAACTCCACTGGCCACTCCTTAGATGGCTGCTAGAGGTGCTTCCTGGGGCAGTACTGCCTAGTGTGCAGCACTGCCATTCAGTGTCTCCATCCTCTGCATGCAGACACTGAAATTTCCTCATAGAGATACATTGATTCAATTTATCTTTATGAGGAGATGCTGATTGGCCAGGGCTATGTTAGACTTGTGCTGGCTCTGCCCCTGATCTGCCTAGTTGACAGTCTCAGCCAATCCTATGGGGAAGTATTGTAATTTGCTCAGACCACCACTTCTGATGATGTCAGTAGACAGTGAATTCAGAGGCAGAGCCAGCAGCTGCAGACTTGAATACAAGTTATATTTTACTATACTTAGGGAGGCAAGAAGGGGCCAGGGTGTTGGTTTTTACATAATCGAGTCAGAAATACATGATTGTGTTCCTGACCCTATAGTGCTCCTTTAAGCAAGAGTATGTGAAGAGTAGTTAGGGTTGCCACCTTTCTTGGAAAAAAATACCAGCCTTAATAATTTGTATAATCACAAGGAGTGACATCAGAGAAAATTCTGTAAAATCACCAACAAACTACTCACAGTTTGATTCTGCTGTAAAGATGGATTGCTCCCAGTGTCTCAGTCTCGCAAGTCACCCAGTGTCTCAGTGTCCCTATGTATCACAGTGTCAGTGTCCCCATGTCGCCCAGTCCCCTAGTCTCCCAGTGTCTCAGTGTCCCCATTTCTCCCAGTGTCCCAATGTCTCAGTGTGTCCCCATGTCTCAGTGTGTCCCCATGTCACTAGGATACTGGGGACACAGTGAGACATGGGGACACAGAGACCCGGGGACACGGAGACATGGGGACATGGGGACACTGAGACATTTAGGGAAACTGGGAGAAATGGGGACACAGACACCAGGGACACAGACACTGGGAGACATGGGGACACTGCAACATTTGGGGACACTAAGACACTAGGGACACAGAGACATGGGAACACAGACACTGGGAGACTATGGGACACTGGGAGACATGGGACACTGGCTGGAAGACAGACACTTGGGGACACTGGGAGACATGGGGACAGTTGCGGGCATAGACATGGGGACACTGGGACATATAGGGACACTGGGAGACATGGGGACACAAGGCACACTGAGACACTAGGAACACAGAGACTGGGAGACATAGGGACACTTAAACATTTGGGGACACTAAGACACTAGGGACACAGAGACATTGGGACACTGGGAGACTTGGGGACAGTTGTGGACATAGACATGAGGACACTGGGACATATAGGGACACTGGGACACATGGGGACACTAGGCACACTGAGAGACACGGGACACAGACACTGTGAGACTTAGGGACACTGAGACACTAGCGACACTGGATGGGGGACATGGGGACACTGGGAGAAATGGGGACATAGTGTCTCCATGTCCCAATGTCTCAGTGTCTCTCAATATTCCCATGTGTCCCAGTGTCCCCTAGTGTCTCAGTGTCCCCATGTTTTCCAGTGTCCCCAAGTGTCTCAGTGTTTCCAGGTCTCCCAGTGCCTGTGTCCCCATGTATCCTAGTGTCTCAGTGTCCCCTAGTGTCTGTGTCCCCATGTGTCCCCTAGAGTCTGTGTCCCCTAGTGTCTCAGTGTCCCCATATGTCCCCTAGTGTCTCAGTGTCCCCTAGTGTCTCAGTGTCCACATGTGTCCCCTAGTGTCTCAGTGTCCCCATGTGTCCCCCAGTGTCCCCATCCCTCACTTACCTGAGCTGTAGAGCTGCTGTCTGGACTCTGTGCTGTGTTGCTGCTCCCCCATGGATCAGTAAGTAGTAGAGAGAGGCAGGGATATGCTGTAACTTCCTATCCCTGCCTCTCTCCACACAGTGACCCCTATTGGCTGGTGCTGGTATTGCAGAGTAATCTCCATTTATTCTGAGAAAAATACCTGCAATTGTATTGCTGGTATTACTGCAATACCGGCATGGCCAGGCAGCCTCAAATACCGGCTGTGCCAGTAAAATACCAGTCAGGTGGGAAACCTAAGAGTAGTGTGTAAAAAAAAAAAAATCTTTTTTTTAGATGGGCCTATTCCATGCAGCTCCATCAGCCCCTATGTTAATCCGGCCCTGCCATCAGGGCAACCCTAAACATCTGACATGTCAGGCCCTAGAGAAATTAACAATGAACACCAGAAAAGGGGACTTTAATAAAATATTACTTATGAAAGAATCCAGATGGATTTACCATCTTAAAACACTCACACCAAATGGTCTTAACGAAGAATTCAATTTCACTCCCTTTATACACAAATGACGAATGTGAGTGAGGCATGTTCTATTAAAGGAAGCAATCATTCTTTAATTTCAAATATTAAGTAAACACACACCAATACTATTTAGTATAAGGTGTATAAATATAGTTGACACGTAATTCGATTTATCTACAACATAGTCATATATATTACTATACATATGGTCACAATAACAAACTACCATAACCACATCAGAGACTTTGATTACAGTCACACCTGAGATCAAAGACTATGAAATTAGGAATCTTTTGATAAATAGCTGCTACTGTATGCATCACCAATCTCTCAGGAATAAGTTTCATAAATCTCAGTACATTTAGAATAGCCATTACAAACCTCTATGTATATCTGTTCGCTAAATCAGAATATTCCTTCAGGACATAACACTAGCCGTTTACCAGGGAGACAAAATGTATCTCCCTAAATGTTTATTATCATATCTCCCTAAACGGTTATTATCATATTCACATAAAACAGTTAGAAAGTTTCTAAATCTTTCAATACACAGTTGCCATTTGTGGCATCCTTAACTTCTTAGGGTTAAGCATTACTTCGTCATTAATATCATATTATATATAGAAAAATCCCTTTTTTCTTTCTACAAAAAACGACAATGAGCAGAACACAATTATCTCCTAACAATAAGATCTTTAGGTTTCCGTTAAACATTATCTGTTTGGTAATTTCCAAAATAAAACTAATACCAACACATTTATAGTCCTAACTATTTCACTTATAGAAGTAAGCAATTAACTCCAAGTGACTAATATAAGCTTACTAATGTCTTTTTTATATCCAGGAAGTGGTTCATTCAGCTGTTAATTCAGCTCACTTAGGTGATTCCCCTCCTGAGTTAAGTGACTCAATTACATCGTCACATACGTATTTTAAACCTACCAATTAAAAATCTTCGCACTGAACCAATGAGAGAGGATTTCTCCTCCTATTTTAATTCAGCGCTCTGTACCGGCCGGTTCTCTTCTGACGAGCCAGGTCGGGCGAAACGCGCACGTCAAGGGGTCCTATCTGTGCTATCTTCATGATCTAGAAATAGCACAGGGACTTGCTACCGTGCTTTTTATAAATTAACTTATTACTTTTTATTTTTCCTTAATCTCCTCCACTATTTGGTATATGATTCGAATTATTAGATACCTTAGCCTAGCGGGTTTATAGCTCAGTATTAGAAGGTGCTTGGCTGGTTCTGACTTTAGTGTTATATTACAGCAGTGTCCTATTTACCACCACTACCACTATTTAGTTCATCGTGAGGCTTTATTTCAACCCTCTCTGTTCTCACATTAGCGTCTGGCTACATTCATCCCAGACATTATCTGAGGCAGAGTCCCAGCAAGAATTCCATTCACCTGCTATTGATTGTGCTTAGTTTTATCTGCTATCTCGGCACAGTAGATTTTCAGATACATCATTTTATCATAATAGACACTCCAGGAGTATAGTGCGATCTATATCTCTGATTATTAAGCCATCAGCACAGCTCCACAGTATTCTACTATTTCATAATTTTTTAGGACTATTTCCATTCCAATACTTAGTAACTATTTATTACTGCTCTATATACTATTTGAGACAGTTGCTCTGAGTTACTTAAATTAGATATACTCAGAGATCGATTTTGGTATCTATGGTGACATATATTCTCATGTCCCTAGTCTAATGCCTAGCTTGCTTTACAGCTAAACCCTGCTATATAACTATATTTATACCAGTCCATCAATACTACTACTTGCAACACTATCTCTATATATACCACTTGAACCAGCCTATCAGTAGAATAGGCTCTATCCCAGTTCTTTCTTGTTTTCTCTATGTAAATTATGGTGGAACAAACTTAGAGCTCAAATTCTAGGTTTTGTTTTGGTCAGAACTTGTATAGTTGCCTCTGTCTTAAGGAGTTAAATTACAATAAATATGTTTAGTTGTCAAGATATATTGTTGTTGTTCTAAATTATATTTCAGTTGCATACATTTTGATTAGTAAGTCACCTAAAATTTCTCAAAACACAATTTCTCTTATTGGGAGAAAGGGGATAAATGCTTACCTTTCTCCAGTGCTGGGCTCCCTCGGCAGGAGCCACGCGCGCATTCAGTCAGTCCATAGGAAAGCATTATCAATGCTTTCCTATGGACGCTGGCGTCTTCTCACTGTGAAAATCACAGTAAGAAGCGCGAAAGCGCCTCTAGCGGCTGTCAATGAGACAGCCACTAGAGGCTGGATTAACCCATATGTAAACATAGCAGTTTCTCTGAAATTGCAATGTTTACAGCAGGCAGGGTTAACCCTAGATGGACCTGGCACCCAGACCACTTCATTGAGCTGAAGTGGTCTGGGTGCCTATAGTGGCCCTTTAATAATTTAAGCAGCAATCTCCCTTGTGGCTGTGACTGACTTTGCTGTAAAAATGTTAGTGAAATTTCCCTTGTGGGTGTAGCTTGAGGCTGATAGGAGTAAATTTTACAAATTCTGAAGGTGGACTTATGGATGAAAGATGAAGCTCTGGGAGAAAGAGATTGTCCCCATTTTCCCACAGCATCTTCTCTGTGTTCTTCCTTGCCTATAGTTTGTTGTCTCTCTTCAGCTTCTTCCTTTATCACTGTGTGGCACATTAGCCTGCTGCAGTCACAGAAAGTAAAAAAGCGCAGCAGAATCTGTTTTTTAAGGTCACAATAGGTTAAGGAGTGCGACACTACCATGTCAAATGAATAGGATATCATCTACCTGTTTATACTTTTTATATAGACGGATGTTGCCATTGCACTTGTGTTTGCTCTAGATACAATGCTTTTTCCAATTACTCATTGTAACGGAGCTCCTTGTACTCCGACTGAGTACCCTCCGTTGACGGATGCTCCTAGCGCTTCCTGAGGACTCCAAGCGCTGCAGCAGACACCACAACCACCACAACCGCGGTATCTTGACTGGAGTCTCGCCGTCTTCCTTCCACCCTGGATCAGCTTCTGTCCTCCAGGACTGTGTGGGAAAGAACTCTTCCTTCCACCCTGTATGAACCTCCAGCATCCAGGACTGTGTGGTGAAGACCCCTCCTCCAAGGAGAGCGTGTCAGGAACAAGCTCTTAAAAGAGCTAAGTGACTCAAGCTCAGGGGAGCATGCAGAGCATAGCAATCCCCAGTGTGATTATAACAGCTCCCTCCAATAACGAGACAAGGCTACGTTTAGAGGGATCAAGAAGAACTTTCAAAACCTTTATTCCCTTGGGACCAGCCAATACAGTCACCACAATAACATTGTTGTGAAACCTCAATAAAATCACAAACAGTCAAACCATATCAAGAAACACACAGTGACTTATCACAACACAATGGCACATTTTTAAAGGGGTGGGGGGAGACAATATTTAACAGTAAATATCTCACCTGCCTGCAGAATTAGCAATATGCAAATCTACCCGAATATGCAAATGAACCAGTCTTGCAATTCAGGTAGTGCATATTGCTGTTGCTACCAACAGAGGGCACTAGACCAGCTCCATAGCCAAACCCACCTAGTTGGTAGCAAACCTCAGCAATACAAGAGAGCAGGCAATACATTACACAGTACACACACACACACTATAAACAATTACATTACACACACCCTGCACCTATAATGGGTACAGGGTGACTAAAACATAGGATAAATAAAGCAGCCCACATAAATAGTCTGTCTGAAGGTAGACTAGGGGCTTTAAAGCCAGATAGATGAAAGAGTCACAGTCACAGGGGAGGAGGCTGGCAAGTAGGCCTCTCCAGGACCAAGTGGCGAAGGGCACTTCGTCACACTCATGAATAGATTGGCAAAGCTAGGGACAATTTTATTCTGCATAGCTGTGCCTTTGTTTTGTATGCAATATTTATCTTAAAAACAGAAGTAATTATTTGTGAGGATAAGTGAGATTCCTTTATGGTAGAAATTCTAGCTGAAGGTCATCAAGGTCTTGTCTTTTTCAGAGCATTACATCCTTTATCGTGGTCTAGTATGGTGTATAAAATAGACACATCTGGTGCCATGTACAGGTACCCTTCTGACTATTAGTCAAATCCCTTATGATGTTGGTGGTGTCCTTCAGATGTATCCTTACTATACTTACATATGGCTATAGAAGGTAGTAGATATATTCTGATAGGCCTGATGTAAATGAGACAAATCTGGAAATAATGCATATACCTGGTGGTCTCTTCGGATTTTTGCCAATCTATTTATAGTGATTAGAAAAACCATTACATCTGGAGCAAACACAATTGGAACGACAATGTCCGTCTTTATAAAAGGTATATAGATGACATCTTATTAATTTGTCATGGTAGTGCCGCACTATTGCAGGACTTTTGTAACCTAGTTCAATGGGAATACACGAGGAGAACACCTCAACACCAAATACAGTGAAGAAGAAGTAGAATTTTTAGATCTAGTTATTTATACAATAAAGAACAATACTAAGACCAAGATATTGGATAGTGGATGTCAAAAGTATCAGACATATTATGCCAGCTCTCTTGAATAAGATTACTCTCTTGAATCATCACTCTACTGAATCATGTCTCTCTTTGTTGAATGTGAATTCTGGATTTATCACCCTACCATTACTCTTTCATAGAAACATAGAATGTGACGGCAGATAAGAACCATTTGGCCCATCTAGTCTGCCCAATAAAGAGTAACTTTCCCTGACCGGGAATCGAACCCACGGTGGTGAGAGCACCAAATCCTAACCACTAGACCACTCAATACAGCAGCTCAGATTGAAAATATGCAATAATACTTCAAGTATAAATATGTCATTATTGATACATTTATTTGTTGAAATTCAGTTATTAATCAAAACCTATTCTCTCATAAATACCTGTAGAGTTTGCTTAGTGCTGATACAAAGGTTACTTAAAATTTTCCAAGTATTTCTATGCAATACTTGTCGATATTTTTTTTTTATTGGTTTGTTCTACATAATATTATTGCGTTCCATTATAGCAAGATATTGTTAATTGTATTACCATTTTTTTCATGCATTTACATATTGTAAGTTTGCAATTCCAAGATGAGAGAGTTTAATTGCCGAATGCATTTTGAAAAGCTAATTTGGTTTGCAACCATTTGTGGAAATAGTGGGTTATTAGTAGAGATTTTTCTAAACAAGTAATTAATACTTTGTAGAAGCGGCAAATGTGGTCTATGCTTCTTTATTGCAGGATATATTGTAATGTGGTACCCAGTCAAATTATGGTGAAGAATATTACATGGTAATGCACTATAGTATGTTGACTTATTGCATTATTTGGTAATAAGTAATTTGAGTCAATAACTAATCATCATCTTCTACTCTGGAAATGATATTCTGACATGTTTGAGGCAATTGTTTTGTTAGGTGTTGTATGATCACTGATTATGTTACAATCATATAGATTGTTGTTTTCATATAAAATTATTTTTAAGTAATATAGTTATTGTATGTTATATTATATTGAATTATATTAAGTTGAACTACAAGAGTTTAGGATCAGAGATAAAAATAGTAGGTATTTCTTTAAATCAAAATTGTGTGTGAATATTAATATTTCTATAGTAATATTTATATTAATAATTAATAATACTTTTTAATATTAATAGAATTATTTCCCCCATTATTTTCTCAAAATAATTATTTCTAATATTTTGCCCCCAAATTATCCCTACAATAGTTGCATCCTAAAAGACAGCTGTCATCATCCTACCTGGCTCTAAAATGTCACAACAAAATAATTCTGAAGATTAAGACGTAATTGTACAGAAATATAGACATACAATGAACAAGTTTAATTCAGAAAAGAAAAAATTCAGAAAAAAATTCAAAGAGGAACTGACAATAGCACAAAAAAGGAATTAACAGGTACCTATTAATAAAGAATAAAATAAAAGACAGAACTGATGGAAACCTAAAGGAAGCAATACCTCCTATCATCATGGATTATAATAAGGACAGTCTACTTGGTTAGAGATAATAAAATAAAATCTTTCAGAAAGCTGGTAGAAGAGTTCCAAATCTCTGTCAAAGATACCTTCTCCTATATTATCCTATATAAAACACTATTTAGAGAAGGTTATATTAGTCGCAGACGGTATTTTGTATGACATATACTAAAAACAATTCTAGATCAGAGTAAAACAAAGCAGCTGTTCTCTAGATGTGTTAAAATGCTAGAGGGTGTTCATAACTCCGTAATCCCTACCGCCATTAATAAATGGAATATCGACTTTAAAAAAAAAAAGCACAGATCTAAAGGAATGGTCATCCTCATTTGTATTATTAGAAACACATTTTAAGTTGGTAAATTTATGGTATATGACCCCAGTTAAAATAACTAAATTCGCTATGGGTACGAATGCTCAATGTTGGAAATGCAGAGAAGAAAAATCTGCATATGTGATGGTCATGTAAAAAAGTGTTTGTGGTGTGGCAATTGGCCCAATATATCATACATAATTTGTGCAATAAAAACAAGATAGAACAGTGAGTAAGCGCTAACTAATATATGGGCAGCAACCCTATAAGGGAATCCCTCGGAGAACCCTTAGGAATAGAACTGGAAAGAGAAAAGAAAAAGGCAAGGGCTGCGCCAAGGAAAACTATAATAACAAATAGTCCAAGAAAATGAGGAAACAATTTAAAAAGTCTTATCTAAAATGTTCTTATTGTAATTGCAGAGTCTATTCAGGCTTGATCCACAACGATAGTGCTTAAAATAATCCTTCGTGTGAGTCCGTTGGTATATATAAAATAAAATAAAAGTAGAGACCCAAATAGTGCAATATGCTTCAAACTGAAAGGTTAAGAATAATAAAAAGTTGAAATAAAACTCACATTTGTCAGAGCGTAAAACTCGCTCCGGTATGAAAGGCGTACAGCGGTTTGATTCCCGCTTGCGGGATATACGGTGAGCTTCCTCCGTCAATGGTGTGTTCAATACTCGGATAAAAAGAAACAGCCAATAGTGTACACTGAGTGTTGATGTAGATAAAATAAAATAACATAAAATGGGTACTCACAAGACGGGAGCAGAACAACTACTCCTAAACGTAAGCTCTGGTGGTATGATCCCCACCTAGGATTGCTTGGAGTCCGAGATGTAGAGAAGATGCCAGGTCGCAAAATAAATAAATGTGTATAAAAAGATATATGGCACAGATAAAAAGTAACCAAATAAACTTTAATATATAAAAATACACAAAATAATATCCATAAACGCGTTTCGCCAGCACGGCGTTATCAATATGGAGTAAGGACCTGATACCTGGCAACATAGAGTTTATATAGCAGCAATAATCATTTGAAATTGGCACCAAAAAGTGAGCAGCCAATCAGAATTGAAGTAAAAGTGAATAAATTAAAACAGTAAAATAACTAATAAAATGATACATACATATGTTAATTGTATAATTGTATAATTTGTGCAATGTAAAATATTTTTAAAACCCGAAGTAATGCTCCTGCACTGTAATTGGCCAAAACTAAAGAAAATATACCAATTTTTGACTATACACTGCCTAATGGCTTGTAAGATTGTAATAGCAAGAAATTGGAAGGGGAACAATGCCTTTACCATTAAACAAATAACATCACAACTGGCTTACCAACTCAAAATGGAGAAGGACCATTGCAAATGTTTGAACAATAATTCTAGTATCTGGGTGAGTTGGGATAATAAACTACGGGATATGTAAAATCATAACCAAACAAGTATGCAACAAGGGAATGGTCAGTTTTTGAGAACTCTCGTAGGGTGAGGGGTTTGTTACTGTTTTGTGATAATGACTGCTTTGTAATGTATGTTGTATGTAAAGTGTCAAATGTTAAAATTTAAAAATAATTAAAAAATAATAATAATAAGGACAATCTACAACTAAAAAAATACTGAAGAGACATTGGGGCCTCTTGAAAAGGGATAAAAATGTGTTGAATTTGTTATTGGAGAGGCCAATAATTATATTAAAAGGGACTCCAAACATAAAGAATTATTTAAAAAACTTAAAGAGTTATTTCAGTTGACTTAAAGGTAGGCAGACAATGTAATAGAGCAGCCGGAAATGCTAGCAGAATGCTTGGTTGTATAGGGAGAGGTATTAGCAGTAGAAAGATGGAAGTGCTCATGCCATTGTACAGAACACTGGTGAGACCTCACTTGGAGTATTGTACACGGTACTGGAGACCATATCTCCAGAAGGATATTGATACTTAAGAGAGCGTTCAGAGAAGGGTCACTAAACTGGTTCATGGATTGCAGGGTAAAACTTACCAGGAAAGGTTAAAGGATCTTAACATGTATAGCTTCAGGGCCGTCTTTAATTTAGATTGGACCCTGGGCGAGCATTTACTTGGGCCCCCTGACTACGTCTAGATACACACAAATACACTACCTGACACACATGCAGATACACACTGACCACATATAGAAACACACAAGAACATACAGATACACACAGACTACATATAGATACACTGACACACACACAGATACAAACACTGACATACATGCAGATACAAAGGTACACACACTGACTACTTATAGATACACCGACACACACACTGACAGACAGACACACAGATACACAACCTGACACACATGCAGATATACAGATACAAACACTGACACATACAGATACACACACAAATACAAATGGACAACATACAGATACAGAGACACATTCTGACAGACGTACTGACACAGACTCACACACAGAAAACCATACTGAAACACACATACACAAAGACATACTGAACCACACAGACACTGATGGACTCTCACACACACAGACATACAGATACACTGACAGACGTACTGGCACATATACACACAGACAGACGGACATACTGAAACACACATACACACAGACATTGACAGACATATTGACAAACACAGACATACAGAACCACACTGACAGACTCACACATAGACATACTGACAGACATACACACATTCTGGCACACACACACAGACAGACTGAAACACACAGACACAGACACTGACAGATATACACACATACAGACATTTTGAAACTCACAGACAGCCATACTGAAACACACAGACACTGAGAACACAGACACTGACACACTGACAGACATACTGGCACACAGACAGACACTGACAGACATACTGGCACACAGACAGACATTCTGGCACACAGACAGACATTCTGGCACACAGACAGACAGACATGCTGAAACACACATACACACATACAGACAGACATGCTGAAACACACATACAGACAGACATGCTGAAACACACATACACACAGACAGACAGACATGCTGAAACACACATACACACAGACACTGACAGACAAACACACATCCAGACATTTTGACATACACAGACAGCCATACTGAAACACACATACACACTGAACCACAGACACTGACAGACTCACACACAGACATACTGACAGACATACACACATCCAGACATACAGATACACTGACAGACTTTGATAACCACCCTCCAGTTTCTTACCTTGTCCTGGAGGGTGGCTTCCCTGGGGTCCAGTGGGCTGGCTGGGGTGGCTGGGAGTTAAGCTCTCCCGGCCTGGCCCCCTCCGGAACAGCTGGTCCGCCTTCCTCCCGCGTGGCTCCAGTTTCTGTGGGAGGAAGTGATGCACGGCTGTCACTTCCTCCCACTGCTGCCGAAAAGCAAGGGCCCGGTTGCGCTGTTAAAGCGCCACAGCGCCCGACCGGGCCCCTGCTGACACAGGCCCACCGGGTGGCCCTAAGTGCATGGGCCACCCGATGGGCCCCCATAGTTTGTGGGCAGAGGGCAAACAGGGCAGTTACCTCAGGCCCCCCAGCAGGGACAGGGCCCGGGGCAGCTGCCCCGTTTGCCCCGCGTTAAAGACGGCCCTGTATAGCTTGGAGGAAAGATGAGACAGGGGGGATATGATAGAAAGATTTAAATACATAAAGGGAATCAACACAGTAAATGAGGAGACTATATTTAAAAGAAGAAAACTGCCACAACAAGAGGACATAGTCTTAAATTAGAGAGGCAAAGGTTTAAAAAATATATCAGGAAGTATTACTTTACTGAGAGGGTAGTGGACGCATGTAATAGCCTTCCAGCTGAAGTGGTAGAGGTCAACACAGTGAGAAAGTTTACGCATAGGCATAAGGCTATTCTAGACTTTAGATAAGGCCAGGCACTAATGAACATATTTAGAAAATTTGGCAGACTAGATGGGCCAAACACTTCTTATCTGCCGTCACATTCTATAAGAAAAAACTAGTCAAAAGTCACAGAAAACTGTTAAAGAATAGAGCAAATGAAAATAATTTTAAAAACAGCACGAAAATTGACTTTTGTTTTGCATGTAATCAGTGCCTAGCATGCAAGACTAGAAAGAAAAAAAACATGAAAGGAGATTGTCATTCTATTAAAAATTATTATTATTTTTTTTTTAATTAATGCATTTACTAACTTGTACAGTACTAATATAATCTACTGTCTACAATGTCCTTGTGAATTACAATATATTGGTAAAACAAGAAAATTATCATTAAGGATAAGGGAACATGTGAGAAACATCTCGAAAAATTTCTTCTGCACTCAATGTCAGCTCATTTTACTGAAAAACATAATGCTGATGCTGGCCTGTTGGACTTTGGAGCTACTTGCAGCGTCCCTAGAAAATGGAGAGGAGGAGACCACATTTAAGAATTTGGGAAATAAATGTTCACTAATATATATTTATATATATATTGTGAAAGTCACATATGTGTCTTGTTGAGGGAACCTTTAAGATAGGTTTTATTACTATTTAATTTTGTGTTTTTCCACCTTAGGAATAGTAACCAATTTAAGGAATTGAGATATACTTGATATACTGCTCACTTAGAAAGATCGGGTTGCTATCGAATCTTGTAATTTCCGAGAGTAGGCGTTCTAAGATAAACCTTATAGCTTGCACAAATGTATCCATTTTATGAAAGATTGCAGTCAAATTCATCATCTGTTAAGATACATAATAACTACATGGTATCCAAATGTTTTCCTTTGCATAATAATTACGAAGTTTAGCAACAAATAGATTCATTAGTAATCATAGGAGAGTTGCGACAGCTGGGATACATGCTAGAGATTTCTGTCTATCAAATGAATATAACTCCAATAAAATACCACTGAAAATACAACCAAAACGACAAGCTCTCTATGAGAACATAGGTTCCTATGGCAACCAAGTTACCGTGAAGTAAATTGGAAAGATAAAAACATTAATTTCTCGCAAGTACAATCTTCACAAAATAATCTTTGCAGGAGAATCATCATTTTCTTTTCTTTTTTTTTTTTAATTTTAACCAAATTAAATGTTTGCTTTTTTTTTTTATTTAAAGTTATACCGGGTTTCTACGACAACCTGCATTTTCCAGTAATACAAGTTTGCAACAATTTAACTCCCCCCAACAAGATCAGCAATAGACAAAGGGTTTAGCTTGTCCTTTCCTTTTAAATTATGAAGAAAATAAAGTTCTTTATGGCATACAATATTGAGAAATAGTATAGGTTACCATGGCAGCCCGGTTGTGATGGAGTTTCCATAGTCAGACTGAGTACCTCCAGCAAGTCAGCTTCCTAGCTGCCACAGGGAACTCAGGAGCACTTGAACCCTGTCGCCGAAGCTTCACTGGGGTCTCTCCGGAATCTTCCACCCAATCAGGCTGCAGCTCTCTTCTTCTAGGCAGGTCTCGTACCCTCTGTTTTTGCTTCTTCTGTTCTTCCCATAGGCAGGTATCAACACCTCTGCCTGGGCTGTGACCAACTATTGCCTTTACAAAGGCACTTGTGGCTCTCAGACCTAGCTCTTTTTAACTTGTTCCAGAAATCAGGGACTGAAACAGCCAGCGAACAGGTCCAAATACTCTGTTACTGGAATTCCTAGGATACCAGTACACACAGTTCCCAATGGAATTATCACAATGCTTTATATTAACTCAGGATTAGCCCATATGCGCAGTATATCAAACTTATGGTGACAAATGCAATCTAATACAAATAACCAAATCATATGGGGAAACATACAGGCACTCTTAATAACACAATAACAGGGGTGTGGAAGACAATAACTAACACAAAATATCTCCCCTGCCTGCATAATTCATAATATGCAAATCTACCTGAATATGCAAATTAATGCAACTTGCTATTCAGATAATGCATATATGTGTTTCAAGATCCTCACTACCAACAGATGTCAATGTACAGGCTCCGCAGCCAAATCCACCTTGTTGATTGAGAGCATCAACAGGACAGGAGAGGAGAGCACACAAAACATTTAACAATAAATAATATACCATACACATCTTGCACCTATTATGGTCACAGGGTGACTAGAACATAAGAATAATCAGGGGACTTACATAAAGAGTCCGTCTTATGCTCATGGTGATGGTGAAAAAACAAGTCTAAGAGGCCAAAGGTTCACCAATGCATACAGACAGAGATGTTTCTGAGGGGGTGCAGACTGCCCAGGTGCCCCTCAGGATCGTCTCTGTCTGTATGCACTGGTGTACGTGTGGTTCCTTGGACTTGCTTTTTGCTAAGCGTTTCTGTCCAGGATCCTCCTGGTGCCGAGTGTCATGCAAATAAATAACCAAACACATTTCTCCCAGATTCTGGCGTGGTCAATGTTGTAATGCTACAATTCATGTTTCCCTTCCCATCTCTTTTTTTGCATGATTACACTCCTGCTGACAACTGCAAGGAACATTGAAAAAAGGGGGGACTTACCCACTAATACTGTGGAGTGGATATTTGTATGAGACATGTATAATGTTTTAAAACTAGAAAGCATAGTTTTTGTTATATTTATCCAATCAGATGCTTTTCACAGAAAAGTATTGAGAATTCTTGTATTATGATGTATAATTATTTTCTTGGTTAGACTATCAATTCAACAAACTTTACACCTGGGACTTGACAGGGATTCATTTTATCAGTTCATCTATTTTTATTTTAAGTCCATTTTGAATTCTCTTTGAATTCTCACTTTAGTGAATAACCATAATCTTTTTTTTATATATATTTTTAATGCGTTATCTATATAAAAACCTGAAGAATCCTTTTAATAACTATTTATATGAACCACCCAACCAAGCACCCTCTCCAGGAAAGACAGATGTAGTGGTTCTAATACCAAGAGGGCCCCGTACCCTCCCACTGTCCAACTTACATAAAGGTTGTCAGGGGTTCCCGCCACTACTCTCTCTGCACACCGAGCTATCCTGTCACTGCAGGGAGACACTCAGGGGTTGAGAGCTCTCAGCTTACACTCTCAGCCAAGGAGCTGGCCCTGCATGGCTTAGCACAGTAAGCTTACAGAAGCTCCATGCAAGACTCCTGCTGATGGGCACACAAAAGCTTTCTGTGAGCATTGAACTTTAGAAACCTAAAACTCAGAAATACCTAAGCAGTGAACATCAATGGTGTTGCTAGAGTTTGGATTTACAGGCTCAATCTCTGTAAAGTCCCAAATATAAATGGTTTAGCTACTTACTGTGGGAGAAAGCCATGGTGTGCATGGCACCATAATCACCAGGGCCGGATTAAGAGCATACTGGGCCTGGTGCTGACAAATATGATGGGCCTAATTACGGAATCTTTTCAACCAAAAACACTAAAACAGTCATACCTTCCAAGCGTCATGTATCTGATGGAGATGGTGTTAGAAGGAAAATCAAAGGATGCAGCTATATGAAAACACATACTCTATGCTAATCTCTCTCTAATTTATGTTTTCATCTTTCAAGTAAATCCATAACCCCTAACAGCAGTGTCCAGTGAAATAGGAAGTCAATGGGCGAGGTAAAAGGGTGTGCCACTGGTGCAAATCACTTGACCAGACCTGCCAAAAGGGGTGAACATGCCCAAAAAGGGGGCATGTCTGTCCAAAGAATTTGAAGGACCGCCTGGCATGAATGCATGTCAGGCTGCCCGCCAATCCTGCAGGCTGTCTAACTAAGGGCATACTATGCAGGCAGCACCATGAGCTTGACATAAATGCATCTAATGATGCGCTCACTCCGTGCTTTCTAAGGACTGTCCCCTAGCACACGCTGGTCCACTTGTCTCATTACCTTCTTACTAGCAGGCAGAAGTTCCTGGTATATAGTCTGAGACAGAGTAAAGGTGTATGTAGTGAGTGTAGTGTTTGTAGTGAGTGTAGTGTATGTAGTGAGTGTAGAAGAAAGGGGACATGCCACAGTGTTAGAGAGACCAGCGTCTGCATTACCTAAACTAATTTTATTGTCAGCTAGTCCACACAAGTTTTGTTCCCATACATCCCCCTTAAGCTTCCAAACTTAAAGGGACACTATAGTCACCAGAAGAACTACAGCTTATTGTATTTGTTCTGGTAAGTAGAATCATTCCATTCAGGCCTTTTGCAGTAAACACTGTCTTTTCAGAGAAAATAACTCCACTGGCCACTCCTTAGATGGCTGCTAGAGGTGCTTCCTGGGGCAGTACTGCCTAGTGTGCAGCACTGCCATTCAGTGTCTCCATCCTCTGCATGCAGACACTGAAATTTCCTCATAGAGATACATTGATTCAATTTATCTTTATGAGGAGATGCTGATTGGCCAGGGCTATGTTAGACTTGTGCTGGCTCTGCCCCTGATCTGCCTAGTTGACAGTCTCAGCCAATCCTATGGGGAAGTATTGTAATTTGCTCAGACCACCACTTCTGATGATGTCAGTAGACAGTGAATTCAGAGGCAGAGCCAGCAGCTGCAGACTTGAATACAAGTTATATTTTACTATACTTAGGGAGGCAAGAAGGGGCCAGGGTGTTGGTTTTTACATAATCGAGTCAGAAATACATGATTGTGTTCCTGACCCTATAGTGCTCCTTTAAGCAAGAGTATGTGAAGAGTAGTTAGGGTTGCCACCTTTCTTGGAAAAAAATACCAGCCTTAATAATTTGTATAATCACAAGGAGTGACATCAGAGAAAATTCTGTAAAATCACCAACAAACTACTCACAGTTTGATTCTGCTGTAAAGATGGATTGCTCCCAGTGTCTCAGTCTCGCAAGTCACCCAGTGTCTCAGTGTCCCTATGTATCACAGTGTCAGTGTCCCCATGTCGCCCAGTCCCCTAGTCTCCCAGTGTCTCAGTGTCCCCATTTCTCCCAGTGTCCCAGTGTCTCAGTCTCGCAAGTCACCCAGTGTCTCAGTGTCCCTATGTATCACAGTGTCAGTGTCCCCATGTCGCCCAGTCCCCTAGTCTCCCAGTGTCTCAGTGTCCCCATTTCTCCCAGTGTCCCAATGTCTCAGTGTGTCCCCATGTCTCAGTGTGTCACCATGTCACTAGGATACTGGGGACACAGTGAGACATGGGGACACAGAGACCCAGGGACATGGAGACATGGGGACATGGGGACACTGAGACATTTAGGGAAACTGGGAGAAATGGGGACACAGACACCAGGGACACAGACACTGGGAGACATGGGGACACTGCAACATTTGGGGACACTAAGACACTAGGGACACAGAGACATGGGAACACAGACACTGGGAGACTATGGGACACTGGGAGACATGGGACACTGGCTGGAAGACAGACACTTGGGGACACTGGGACATATAGGGACACTGGGAGACATGGGGACACAAGGCACACTGAGAGACACGGGACACAGACACTGTGAGACTTAGGGACACTGAGAGACTAGCGACACTGAATGGGGGACATGGGGACACTGGGAGAAATGGGGACATAGTGTCTCCATGTCCCAATGTCTCAGTGTCTCTCAATATTCCCATGTGTCCCAGTGTCCCCTAGTGTCTCAGTGTCCCCATGTTTTCCAGTGTCCCCAAGTGTCTCAGTGTTTCCAGGTCTCCCAGTGTCTGTGTCCCCATGTATCCTAGTGTCTCAGTGTCCCCTAGTGTCTGTGTCCCCATGTGTCCCCTAGAGTCTGTGTCCCCTAGTGTCTCAGTGTCCCCATATGTCCCCTAGTGTCTCAGTGTCCCCTAGTGTCTCAGTGTCCACATGTGTCCCCTAGTGTCTCAGTGTCCCCATGTGTCCCCCAGTGTCCCCATCCCTCACTTACCTGAGCTGTAGAGCTGCTGTCTGGACTCTGTGCTGTGTTGCTGCTCCCCCATGGATCAGTAAGTAGTAGAGAGAGGCAGGGATATGCTGTAACTTCCTATCCCTGCCTCTCTCCACGCAGTGACCCCTATTGGCTGGTGCTGGTATTGCAGAGTAATCTCCATTTATTCTGAGAAAAATACCTGCAATTGTATTGCTGGTATTACTGCAATACCGGCACGGCCAGGCAGCCTCAAATACCGGCTGTGCCAGTAAAATACCAGTCAGGTGGGAAACCTAAGAGTAGTGTGTAAAAAAAAAAAAATAATAAAATAAAAAATTTTTTTTTTTTTTTTTAGATGGGCCTATTCCATGGGCCTGGGCCTGGAGCTGCAGCTCCATCAGCCCCTATGTTAATCCGGCCCTGATAATCACTACAGTACTTATGGTTAGTGATGTCCTGAACGGTTCGCCGAACGGTTCGCCACGAACGGTTCGCCACGGACTCATCATTGAGTAAACTTTGACCCTGTACCTCACAGTCAGCAGACACATTCCAGCCAATCAGCAGCAGACCCTCCCTCCCAGACCTTCCCACCTCCTGGACAACATCCATTTTGAAGCTGCATTCTTAGTGAGCTACTTATGGTGCTTGGAATGTTCTTGTAAATCACTATTAAAAAATGGGACACTATAAATGGAAATTGGGAAAATGGAAAAATCGGGATGTTCAATTATAACTTTGTGCGACACATTTTATTCATAGATTCTTTTTTACTATTCTTTGTCAATCTGAAAAATTCTTAGATTTCTTAGATTTCATTATATGAATTCAATATTGAAGTGACCATGCTATAACTACACAGCCTTGAAAAATGTTTCCAAATCAGCAATTTTAGTCTACTTTTTGCCATTTGGTTTTCTACAATTCAAATTTAGAGAATAACCATGTAACAGAGCGTTCGTTTATGAAAGTGTTTTTAGACTGCAGTGTTCTATGTATAAAATTCATCAGACTACCCATCCCCCTTAAAAGTCTCTGTTCTTGCATTAATCTTTTTCCTTCCTGAATAATCCCAGGTATTTCTGATTTCAAAGCATAACACTAAAAATGCTGGAGAGTATTAAACATACTATGTGACACATTAAAGCAACACACTAGGCACCGACAGAAATGTTAAGTATTTTATAGCATGAATCATGGTATATTTGCATACACCATCTTATTTGTTTTTTCTTTTTGAGTTTGGAGTATATTGCATCTTAATCTTTATTCTAAAATGTTTCCTTCTTACTGGTTCTAATACCTTCCAGGTGTGGATGTGTAATATTGTAAGCAGCAATGAGGGGTGAGTGCACCCTAAAAGAGAGACTGTAATCCTACTTGGCCGGCATTTAAACGGTTAATCCCAATGACCTGTTTAGTGATTTAAAGTCATGGTGCCTGGAGTCTGTATGTGCAACGTTTCACTATGAAAAGCTGTACATACAGATATTAAAATAACCTCTTAGCTTAGTGCCAGCAGTATCATTAACCAGTCCAGTACTAAGTTCCAGGCTAAGTAATGTCAATTCTTTGCAAAATGGATGTCTGACAGGCGATGGCGTCACCCCTCCGCCCCGGGTTGCCCCTGTCCTCTGCCCAGTCCATCCTGTTTAGTTCTTGCCATTGTTGCAAATGCAAACCCCATTCACACAAGGAAGTGGCACAGCCAATCAGGAGTCATTCTGTTCAATGTAGTTTAAACTGTTTGCCAGGTGTGTATGTGAAATTAGTTCAACGTGTTGAAACACTCGAAACAACATGTGACCAACTCTTTGTAGGGACCCTGACAAAGCTGTGATGTGAAAGCAAAATCTTAATTTCTCTCTTTATTTTTTTCATCTTAGGCTTTTTCTTCATAAGGTGCTATTGCTCTATGAATATATACACTAGTCTAGTTTTTCCTTTTGCCTCTTTCATTTTCTATATTTATTTACGGCATAGCTGATTATCTAGGCGATGTGCAAATGCTTTTACAATTGCTGAGGTTTTTATATAGGTAGGATAATGATTTGGGGAGGCAGTACTTTAACAACAATACAATGAATATTTCCTGATAACATGCATTCAGGTGATCATCTTACATTAAATACAAACCCAGAACTCTCTAAGTCCAGAGTTGCCTGACCATTTTTTTTACTAGATGAATTGTTTTTGCCTTTGGAGAATACTAGTATACACTTACCTGTACTCTAGACTTGCCCTTTCTTGTTGCCTGTTTTAACTTTAAACCTGTAGTTATCTGTAACACTTTGTTAAAATAAGCAGTACCCATTTGCATTTACTTGGCTGTTTCCCAGCTTTATGCCTGATATAACTTTCAAGATTCAAGTTTTGCATATTTAAGTGTAAGTTAGTTTTGCTTATACTATCCTGTCATATTTGAAATTAAATACAGCAATATTAATTTATCTCCTCTCTTTAAACTATTGTGGTTAGTTTGTTCCCTGCAAGCCTCATATAGAACTACTGGGTATAACCAACAATGGCAGCTATGGTGAAGTTTTAAGATGATGGGATACCAGACTCCTCCCCTGGAATCTGACTCCAACCTTTAACTCTGTAGTCTCCATCATATAACTTGTGGCATCAGTCTGCTTAACCTCATGTACTCAACACCTAATGATAATACACAAAGCTGCATTCATTAGCGCATTACCCATACAATACTCAAACTAGATACAATACAGAGATACCTTTTGTGATGGCCTATTCCCGTTGCCGCTAAAGGATTCCTTTCCCCTTTATGATTATAGAGTGATTATAACTGTTATAGCTGTCTTACCCATACATTAGCCAAGACTTAGTGTAGGGTGAAGAAGAACTAATTAATTGTACTGACTGTCTCTCTTTTATACCTGTGTCCCCAACAGGGGATTACCAGTAGAACAGTAGTTATTGCAATATACCTGACACCTAGGGGTCTGTACCTGACCAGATAATTTTATTAGTGGCCAGACACCTTGGTGCCGAATAACATTTTGACATGAAAAACTGGGTTACTCTGCCTTACAAAGGCACATGCAGCTCTCAGGGGTAACTCTCTTGATTTATCTCAGGGCTAGAGGGATCGTGCAGCCAACCAACAGGTCCGAAGACTCATACATAACTTTATTTTTACTTTTGACTAGCCTATAGGATCATTACAAAAAAACCTTATGATGACACATTTAAATAAATACATAAAACGAAATCATATGATTATACACAAAACATATAACAATAAAACAATACACACCCTGCACCTATAAGGGGTATAGGGTGACTTAGACATAAGCGTAGTCCAGGGTCCTACATAAAGTGTCCCTATGAAACCCCAGGTGATGGTGACTACCGTCACAGCGTGCCATGCCTCTGAGAGTCTCCATCAGGGTTTAGATGTCTCTGGGACTGCTGGAGAGGGTGTTGAACTGAGAAGCATGGTCTGAAGGGCAAATATGTGAGTAATTATACTAGGAAGCTCTGTACAAGTCCTAAGTGACCGGCTGGTCCGTCACACCTATACAATACACAGGACTGAGTACAATACAGAGATACCCAGACAATACAAACAACGAGTACAATAAGGAGATATCAATTCACAGAGCTGAGCATAATAAAGAGTAGGGATCAACCAATATTGCTTTTTTAGGGCCGATATGGATACCGATAGCCTATTACTTGTACCGATATTCTGTGCATTTTTACAGTTTTGAAAAACGAAACCATTTCTATACAATTCTGCCATTAACTGAACATGTTTAATATTTATTATTATATTATTTTGTGAATTTTTATTTTATTGAGAGGTAAATGCAGAACATATTCATACCTGTTAGATATTTAATGTTTTCAAGAATATTTATGTGTGTTTAGTGGATGCAGTGTGTATGTGTTTAGTGGATGTAGTGTTTGTGTGTAGTGGATGCAGTGTGTTTGTGTGTGTAGTGGATGCAGTGTGATATGATATGACATACCCCATGCTGTCTACTTTCCCTAATGGTATGCATTTATGGGGAAATTTGAACTGTGAAACTGCTACAATGCCCCAAAATAAAATCTAGATCCTATCAAACTCATGAATCAAAATTCTAATTGTAAAAACTGAAATGGTCAGGTCTATTTTATGGTACTGTAACCTCACAGGATAGTGGCAAAGATACATTCAGGGGGTGTTGTTTTATTCAGAAGAGTTTGCTGAGCATAATTTGTGGGGTTTGACCACAGTGGCACATATCAGATTTGAAAATTTGACAGCAATTCTGAAACGTGTATGTAAAAATTGCAACAACAAAAAAGTACCACAATGTTTGAACACAATATGGGGTTTTCTACAGGGGTAGTACCCATCAGGTTTACAAAATACACATTAAATAACCCTGTTATATGTGTGTATGTTAAAAACAAACAAAAATACTACAGTATTTCGCAGAGATTGGCTGTTAAATGGCTTTATAAAAAGTGTGAAAATACCCTTAGGTAAATAGCCCGTGATGTCTGCTTTTTATAAATATATAGCTTTGTGTGACAATTTTGTTTTCTATGACGGCTATTAAGCTTACAAGTCAAACATACCAATTTGTAAAATCGATCCACATTGAAATTTTGTGACCTGTAACTACGAAAAATAAACTAAAATCATCGACATTTTATTATAAAAATCATAATAAATCAGGACAGCAAAATGAATTTATTTTGAATTACTTTTCTTTCTTTTTGGAAATTTTAATTGTTTTGTGCTTTAGAGTAACAAACAGTCTTGCACTGCCCCGACGGCGGTGACAAGATAAGTAGTATACACAGTTCAACAGTAAAGGGCAGTCGAGTATACAGCACATTTTTGTGTAGAAATAATTTTGACTAGACAATTTACGCTAAACAATAGCGGAGTAACTGGCATGTATAAGTGCCTGAAAGTGAGTGCGAGATAAAATAAAATAATATAAAATAAAATAGGTGCCAGTAGGAATATGGTAGGTTAGGCGTTAGTAGGAGTACTGGCGTAGTATATATACATTTCGTTACATGCTTGTGATAATAGGTATTAAGGACAAGATAAATCAGGCTAGACAGAACAATCTGCATCAGTATAAGAAGAGACTACTTCCTAGTTTTCCAGTTCTAACTTTAGTACCTGGCTTATTGAGGTGTGAGAAACAGACAAGTATGTTATGAAGCCTGTGGACGTGGAGACTGTCACGCCTAACTAACAATGTGTGCTGAGATTAATGAATTCTACCGCTGCTAAGCTTCCTTAGTACCACATGACCAGGCTTGCCTGCGCAGTATGTCAGATCAGTGTAATGTTTGGCTGTACTCTATCCGCAATGCTATCTGAAACTATAGTTGCTCATCTCATGTGTATTATAAGCGGAGGAGTGCTGCACGGTTGTGACAGACCTCTCTGTCTCTGGATTACTTTTATTTTGCCTTGGTTTGTCTGTTTGTTTGGTTCTTGCCCTGTCCGTACGGCCCCTATGTTTAATTTCCTTTTTCCCGAAAGAACTACCGAATGGCCGGCCACCCAGCAAGGAAGTGTGCTGCTTGTTAACCTCTTGACCTCTTTAGAACGTTGTGGTTAACCACAGACACTTTCTACCGTTGAATGGTCGGCTGGGTGGTCGTCGTTCATATGAACGAACACGTGGCAGTGGCCATCCTGGACATTCGAACGCCCAGCGGTGTTCGTCGACAAATCTATGGAACTAAAAACGGACACTATTTTCAAACGAACACCACTGGAGTTGCTGACCCGCCTTCGCCCTTTTCATCAGTTCATACGAATGCTGTGCCGTTCGGTACTTGGATCATACGAACAGAGCCACCCCACATAGCCGTCCCATGGAGCTGATTCGTATGACGAATAGACTATGTGAAAGACTTTAGCTCCATGGCGATTGAACTGTGTGTATGGGATCTGAGCGCTATTCGGTGATATTGTGTGCTCAGATCTAAGCTATCTGGGGATACGTTGAATATGGGGATTCTGTTCGGTAGTTTGGGAATTGTATATTTTTATGTATTTTTATTGTTGCTATAAAATGGAGGTTATGCTCTATCCTGGGAGGTAATTAAGTTACTTCTAGCCCAGCCTAACTCCCGTTAATGAAATTCCTAGGGGTTTAAACCACTCTCTACCTAGCAAACTCGCTCTTTGTCCCTTAGTAATTATTAAACGTAAGTGTCCTCTGAATTTACCATATTTTACTGGTATAAAACAAGCCCCTTTAACATCCACAGCCTGTTTGTTGTAGTCCACCAGATGAATATTACAAGGTACTATTGAAGGGCCATTATGAGCCCATAACAATGTAAATGTCTCTTCTGAAATCAAAGAATGTACTTTCATTTGGCACGGAACATCTTGCAGCACAATTTCAGTGTAAATCTTCAGTCCTGATGGCGAATTTTCCACTTTATTCACATAGTCATTTGAGTAAACACCTGTAGTCATTTCACTATCTGAAACGGTATTTGGAGTATTAACAGAGTGTGCTGCAGTTGGTATTGTATTTGCATTCTGATATTGGGTTTGAATTTCAATGGCTTGTCTTTGGCAAACTGTCTGTATGTGACCTGTACGTTTACATGTGTGGCAAACTGCGAAAACGACATGTATTATGCCTGTGTTTTCCACCGCAATTATAACAAGTTCCTTTAATTGGATCTGTGAAATCCGTGCATGGTGAAAAGTCCTTTGATTTAAAGGACCACTATAGTGCCCTGAGGGTGCCCCCACCCTCAGGGACCCCCTCCCGCCTGGCTCTGGAAAGGGGTTAAAACTTACCTTTTTCCAGCTCTGGGCAGGGAGCTCTCCTCCTCCGATCCTCCTCTTCTCCTCCCCGTCGGCTGAATGCGCACGCACGGCAAGAGCTGCGCGCCCATTCAGCCGGTCACATAGGAAAGCATTCATAATGCTTTCCTATGGATGCTGGCGTGCTCTCACTGTGAAAATCACAGTGAGAAGCACGCAAGCGCCTCTAGCGGCTATCAATGAGACATCCACTAGAGGAAATAGGGGAAGGCTTAACCCATACATAAACATAGCAGTTTCTTTGAAACTGCTATGTTTATGAAAAAATGGGTTAACCCTAGCTGGACCTGGCACCCAGACCACTTCATTAAGCTGAAGTGGTCTGGGTGTAAGAATATTAAATAGTTAACTTGTTTATATGTATTTTATGCTTTTATAAGGTTTATAAATATTATTGCTGACTGAAAGGATATGAAATAGTTAAACTCAATGTACGACATAATATGCTGACTTTGACAGACTAAGGTATTTCTTCTATAGGATGTAAGACAATGCTAAAATCTTAGGATGTCTTGCCCATTCCGATTTCAGGATACTTTCCCCCAGACGTATGCAAAAGCTTATCTTTCCATTGTCAGAATAACATGTAATATAAGGAAGTAATAAATCTTATAGTCTGTACTGTATTTGCATATACCATGGCTAATGTAAGCAAACTATGTATAAAAGCCAGCTCTGGAATACACTCATTTGAGAGTCTTGTCAAGTATGCTGTTGTCCGTGTCTTATTGCTGACAATGATTCTCCATCAACATTGATTATGGTGACCGAGGGATCGAGAACCGAGGGGATTAGAGTCCATTACAGCATTAACCCTTTCAGCTTGGTGTCAGAAGTGGGATAGAAGTGGGATCAGCAAAACCATTGCGGTGAGTAGCCTTTTTGTATCTTATTTGACGCTGATTGTCTATGACCCCCCTTTGGTTCAGTAAGTCTGTATCCAGTAGATAGGAAAGGTGTAAGGACTCTAGTTATATTGAGACCATGAGAGGTCTCCGGTTTATATTGAGACTATAAGAGGTCTCCGGTTTATTAGACATTTGGTCTAAATATATAGGGTTTTGGTAACCCAGGTTAGTATCTAAGATAGATACAGGGTATCTCAGGTAGATACAGGTTTTTGAGACCATAAGAGGTCTCCGGTTTATTATAGGGTTTTGGTAACCCAGGTTAGTATCTAAGATAGATACAGGTTTTTGAGACCATAAGAGGTCTCCGGTTTATTAAGACTATAGGTGTTCTGAGGAGCACGGTTTATAGATCTATAAGTATAACCCAAACTTCTCTTTCTCCCGGTCACCTTTGTTTGTCTTAAGTGTTCTTTGTGGGTGATTGTTTGTCTATATTGGGGACACACTTTGGTAAGTTAGTAGTGTCCCCACTCTGAGTCAGCAGTATGGGAAATGTGAGTTCAGGTCCTGAGTGACCAATATATGTATGTATATATGTGTGTGTATATGTATATGTGTATATATAAGATAGCAGTACTTTTAAACAAATGGAGGTTTTACATACATTTAAGGAGAGAACGCAGGTAACTTGTTTTTCTTTGGTTTTTACCATATATTGGGGCTGATGTGTACTGTAGTCCTTGCTGCTGCCCAGTAGTGATGGGAGTGAGCGCAGGACTTATCTTTCTGCAAGATAGCAGTACTGTATATTAGAAAAGAAATGACTCACAGGTTGTACCTGATAGACCTTCTTAAATCTTTTTACTTTATTCTTTCTGTCGCATAGAAGTATAAGTTTATTACTCTGTTTTTTTGTAAGTTATTTTACATGGGATCTGTGTGCCTGTGTGCCTGGTATGATTGTTGCTTTAAAAATACCATAAGCCCACTACACTTATCATGAGAGTGGGATAGTGTAAATGTGTTACATTGTTTGCATGATGAGCTCAGTATATTTTATACTGAGACAAAAAGGAAGCACTTCATTAGTATTTGAAAGTTAATTCCCCATATGGGTTTAATTGTATAGAAACACCAATCAGCACATCTTCCCTGCCCTGTGTGTTTGTTGCAAAGGATCCATACTAAATATGATTTTTGTTTGAAAATAACAGAGCAACATTTAAATTTTCAGCGGTCCAACACATGCTTTATTTTGCGCTGTAAACTAACCTTTTTATTGCAACAGATTCCTTTTAAATGATCCAGTGTAATAACTACTGCTTGTGTCTTCTATGTCTCACATTATGTGTTGTTTTAAATTGTGGTATATAGCCTGAATCAGACATCATGGACAAAGGTTTTTACCTGTGTTACTAAGGGCTCTTGGAGACTGACCGGTCTAAAGGTTTGCCATGCCTTTAAAACATGGTATAGAATAAAAAAAAATTTAAGTCTCTGAGAGTTCTGAAAGATTCAGGTGAAACCATGTCTGTGTAATCTGGTCCAGATGTTTGTTCAATTTCCATAAGATTTAAGTTGATGCAGCATCATCTCAGATTAGTTAATGGTAGTTTTATACAAATAGTTGAGTTATGAGAGCGCTATATAAATGGATCCTTTCTTTATATACAATACTATAGTAAATTAAAGTAATGAAGTTAATTAAGAAAATGTATACATAAGAATCCCTAAAATAAATCTAAACTAAAATTGGTATACCTTCCAATTAAATGTTCTGAATACAGCTGTTAACTGTTTATTCTGTGTAAATGGTGATTGTGATAATGTGTGCTAAGTGTGCAGTTTAACTTAAAAGTGGTTTAATTTATATGTTGCTGTATTGTTTTAAATTATATGTGAATCAGTTTGTCACAGTCTAGTGATACTGATAAGAATGACAGCCAAATAACCTAGCAAATAACTGTTTTATTAGTTGTTGTATACTAGCGTTTTGGCCAAGAATAGTTGGAGATTTGGAGGTGTTAGTTTAAGATTGCTTTTATATTGTGTCTATCCGTGTTTCCTAGGAGGGAGACGAGTGTGTAGTTGTGTGCCCATAAATGTGATTTCTGTATTGGCATATCTGCTGGGTACCCATTATGTGTTTCTATAAAGATATTGTTTTGTGAGATGACGTGTAATATTACATTGGATGCTGAGTGTGAGTTATATGGTTTGAAATGAATTGGTGATTATGAGTTTAGTACTTCAGTAAAATGTGCTAAAATTTGGAACAAGGTGGAAGCTGAAAGGTTGGGATTATGGAAGAATAAGCAGTCTATATTCACTGCTTTGGCATATAAGCAAGATGCAAAGGAAGAGATTGGTAATATGATTTTTGTAAAGAAATTTTACAAGTGTTGGAAGGATGAGGCAGGTTTGATGTCTGGAGACGATATAGATCTCTTTAAAATACAGTCATGCCTTGGTAATATGTTGCCACAGTATTCTTTGCTTGTGAAACAATTGATTTCAGACTGGGCCAATTTGGATAGCTGAGATTTTCTTACCAAGGTTAAAGAAAAGGAAAATGCAGGTTGTTTTGACTTAAGAAAAGATTTAGGAAAGTAAGGTTGCTTATTATGCTCAGGGATTGCAACACTGTCCACCTACACAGGCTGAGAGCGAGGATGGGATGGAGCACATAAAGCCCGTGGAAGGGGTGGTCAAAGAGGGGCAAGGGGATGGAGACAGGGAAATCAGGGTTATAGGGGCAGGGGTAACCAAGGAGGAATAGACAGGAACACTTGTTTCAACTGTGGCCAATATGGCCACTGGAGGAATGAGTGTCCATACCCCAGGAAACCCCACACACCCCAACAACCCCACAATTCTCAAAATATGCCCTGTAGGCAAGAACAACACCAGACCCACTCCCAACACCACTGGCCAGCATATCACTTAGTTCAGGACTTTAGAGCCCTGAATAATTTTATTGTGCCCATTTCACCCATTGTCCCTGATGTGACATCCCTCATTACAGCCATTCCACATGATGCCACTTGCTTCACTGTCATTGATTTAAGTAATACATTTTTTTTTATATATCTATTGATCAAGAGACACAGCTACTTATGGTTTTTACTTTTTGAAGGCTGTCAGTTTACCTGGACACGCTTACCCCAAGGCTATGTGGATTCCCCAGCTGTTTATTCGTTGGTACTCCAACATACTCTAAAAAAAGATGGACCACCGGTCATGGTTCCGTCCTTTTTGCAAAATGTTGATGATTTGTTGTTATGTAGCCCTAGCTATGAGGCAAGCACTGTGGATACTGTCAGCAACTGTGGGTCACAAGGTTGTTAAACACAAAATGCAATTGTGTAAATCAAAGGTTGAATACTTAGGTTTTGTTCTGGCTTTAGGCACCAGACAATTGAGTCCAAAATGTATTGAGGTCATTCAGAGGATTCCTACACCCACTATTCGGAAGGAGTTGCTCACCTTCCTCGGCATGATTAATTACTGCCACCAATGGATCCCTGAATGCTCCCATTATGACTCAATCCTAAGGGAGGCTGTACATTCTGACAGCCCTGAAAATGTCTGCTGGTCACCAGACATGCTAGCTGCATATATTGCCCTTAAAGTTGTTATTGTGCAAGCCCAGGCTTTAGGACTACCTGTGCATTGTAAACCATTTCATTTGTATGCTTGGGACAATTGTAAAACCATGGCCGCGGTCTGTGCACAAGAGCAAGGAGGCGGTATGCGTCCCATAGCATTCTTTTCCAAAATAGTTCAAGCTCCGGTACAGGGTATGCCGGCGTGTCTCAGAGCATTGATAGCATGTGCAATGGCTGTACTGCTACTACTATCACACTAGGGCATCCTACAATACTTCATGCCAGTCACCAGGTCACTCAGCTGACAAATCTCACCACACAACACATGACAGCCCAGCGCTTAAGTGGTTATGAGATTTTTTTTTAATACCCAGAATCTGTCTTTTGGATTAAACAAGGTTTAGAGAAAGATCAAAATGATCTGTTCTCTAAAGAGGGGAGAATAGGCATACTTGAATCAAGCTGCTTTATTTTCATCAGTCAGGCACATAGCAAGCACCATTCAATTCCTCATGAATTCATTTTACATTAGGAATCTCAGGCAGCATGTACAGTCTTTTGTAAGATCATGTGAACCATGTATGAAAACACATCCAAATATTCCACACAAATCACAGCACGAACATTTGCCCCCTCCAGCTGCTTCTTTTACACACTTACAGATTGATTTTATTCATGTATCCAAAATTGGTAAGAAACAGCAATACTTACTGGTCACAGTTGATCAGTTTAGTAGATGGCATGAGGCCTTTGTGACATCTAGGGAAGATTCTAGTGAAGATTATTGTTACTGAAATTATTCCCAGGTATGGTTGCCCTCTGCAGATTGGCTCTGATAATGGCCCGGTTTTTGCCAGTGGGGTTGCCCAGGAACTTGCTAAATTCTTGCAAGTTACCTGGCAGTTTCATATTCCCCTTCATCCACAGAATACAGGGGTAGTTGAAAGGATGAATAGGACTATTAAGGAAAAGCCCAGAATTTACCCAGGAACATGGGTAAATTGAACTAGATAACTACCAACTATTTAGCTGAGATAAGAATGAATCCCCACAAGGTGACTAAATTATCTCCATTTGAGATTTTGATGGGATGACTTTTTCCCACACCCTGGGCCAGGGAACCGCTTGTTATAATGTCTGGGGATTTACAGCTAATACAAGAACAATATGTACAGGAATTGTTGATAAAACCGAATGGTATGTATGACAATGTTTCTTCGCAGTTTTCCCTTACCTTCACAGGAACCTACTCATCCATACCAGCCCGGTGACAAGGTGTATATCCGTCAGCTGAACAGGACCAAGAAAGGAGGATACCCTTTTGGACCACCTGCTACTGTGATTGCTGTACCCAGAACCGCTGTCCTCACAGATTCCCATGACATCTGGATTCACACATCCCGAGTGAAGCTGTGTCCAAAGAGGGGAACCAAGGAAGACAACACCACTCCTCGCTCGGAAACAGAAGAATTTCTCCTCAGCAAAGCATCATGGCTTTCACACCATATTGTAGATTGAGAGGATCATACGTACCAGAGACCAAGATTATGTTGTGCGCTATGCTTTCTGGAGTTGTTATACTCCCTCTGATATTGTTCCTTGAATGCCATTATGAGTACAAGTCAATGGCAAGTTTGAAACGTGTTTGTTTCTGGAAAAAAGACTCTGACATGATGAACAATTCTTCAATACCCCCAGCCCAATTAGGCCTTAGCTCCTCATCTAGCATTCGTCACACACGCCCCCTCAAGAACCTTTCTTCACCACCTTTCTATCAGCATGTAATATGCAAGCACTCATTGACTGAACGCATTTGGATGAATTGGACAAATAGTAACCCTTATAAGTACCAGTTACCCATATCAAATGTGTCCACAGCTAATGAAACCGATGCATTATGTTTGTTTGAAGGTTCACAGAAAATTGTTAGATCTTATAACGCAGAAATGTGCACAGTTAAGGTTGCATAACAATGTAAACAGACAGGCCTTATTACTTTTAATAATGATTATATAACTGGTATCATTAATCGGAAAAGGGGACAAATGTTAGTCATTATGAACGACACTGCAATTGAGAACTATACACTACCTTATATTTTTACACCTTATTACTGTCCTTTATCCTCTACCATAGAACCAAAAGTCAACAACGACACACACACACCTATTTCGTCCACATGTATTAATACAACTGCCTTCTTACAAGCTGTACATGTGTCATTAAAAATCACTACTCCTGTTGTAACATTATGTAACAGCAAACAAAGGCAGAAAAGGGAATGGTATGACACACTGTTAGGAGGTGCTGGAACCACTATGGGTATACTAAATAGTTATAGATATGGAGACCCTCAAGAATAAGTTAAATACGGCCAGCATGCATATAGGGACTGGTTTCCATGATACTGCAAACTGGGCTCCAACTGTTGTTAAATCACAGGTTACAGGATTGGATTTAGATAAATCAATGTATAATTATTTAGATAATTTAACTGTTGCAACTATGAAATTCACTACAGGTCTAAGTAACTGGAGTACTTGTGCCATCAGGTATTTATGGATACAACAACAAGGATTGGCATTAAAAAACACACTAATGATTCCTAAACTAGAGAAGATTAGAGGAAAGCGTAACCTCACAGATAATGAATGGTTACTTCTAAAACCCCAATCCACTAAATGCAATGGATGGTTAACTGGTAATGTTTCACATTTTTCATGCTCATGCTATTTTACATTATATCATACATCATCAAAGGATGTTAAATTAGCTTGTCAATTTAACACATTACCAGTACCAGTTTATGATCTTTTTGCCAAGAATTTAACCTGGTGGGCACCCACATACACAGGGGACTATATTTTTCCCAAAGATAACACACACAGGTAGCCACACATATCCTAAAAGGAGAACTCCTTAAGGTGAGTTCACAAATTCAGAATGACTTAGCCCATCATTGGTACAATGCTTTACTGGTTGGTCCCCTACTGGATCCCAGATAATGAAATCATTCTTCTATCCTTTTTGTTATTATAGTCCTGATTTTATTGTGTATGATTTTATATAACTGTCACCTTACTTGTACATTGAGGAAGAGAGACAGAAATTAATCCATCTATACCATCTCTATGCCATCTCTATGTGACTGGCTATCCTTTCAAAGCCCTTTGTAACAGCATGCAGTAATCCTTTAAATTTTCCCTTGCTGGCAGACACTTTATGTTTTACAGGCATCCCCATACATTTTTATGAATTTACAGCTGGCCAAAGCACTCATCCAAAGATATAATAGTGGTATCCACCACAGTATAGAAGAACTCAATTTTGAATTTCTCCTTGGAATCGGTTAGTGGTTCATCTTTCCCCTCGTAAGAAAATAAAGCCTTTTTCTTGTGGATGTGAGTGGAATATACAAAAACAGGCTCAAAATCTGCCTTTTCAATTATTTCCCATGCAATAACTAATGCACTTTCAAATCCAATTACTGAAATTTTGCACAGATTGTTTACATTTTCCTATCTAAAGTCAAATTGGTAGCTTCATGTTGCATTGCCTTGCTGACAATATTGATTTGATGCAATATGTCATACCAAACATACAATATTATAAATCTGAAATTGGCAATATGTTGACAATGTCAATACTTCATGACAGATACTAGGTTTAGTGTGTTTTTCCTCCTACAATACAATCAATGCATCCTCTATTCCAGTAGGAATGTGCTTCAAAGGTTTAAGGCAGTTGATTTTACATTCCCACCATGTTGTGCACAGGGGCTTTATAGTGAGGCCAGATACATGGTCAGTCAAAATCTTCCATCTCTTGGCAGATCCAGAAAAGAAAACATAAATGTGTTGAATGACACAAAGCAGTTTGAGTAATCCCTTGCACGATCGTGCTGCATCTCCAACAACAAGATAAGGCCATGACTTCCACATGGTACAAATCTTGCTCTTGGATTTATACTTAAAATCCTTGCTTCGACGCCACTATTTTTCCTGCCATATTTGCCCTATTATCGTAGCCCTGTCCACAGCGGTCATTAATATCCTATGTATATCCTTATGGCGAATATCTGGGGTACAATCTAGGATAATTAAGTAATATTTTGTATTCATACAACATTGTAAAATGTCTTCTAATACCTGTTTTGCCATTAGGTTTATTATCTCATGTTGAATTGTTTTACCACAATAGTGGTCTGATGTTTATTTTGAGGTCACCTGGTGTTAGTGCTCTGCCATCACATTGTCATACTTTCCTATCAGTTCCACAAGCCCCAGAAAAGTTCCATTGTTGGGTGTGAAAAATCGATTTGAAGACCCTCTAAATGTCAAGTTACGCTGAGTTAAAAATTTAACAATGTTGAGCAGTCTCTCCATTACTGATCTCCAATGTTGTCTTTCACAGCCCATAAAATTTGCAAATTATGATCAATGGCAGGTTATGACTTCAGTCTCAGTTGTGTTTTCATCCATGACTGAACGGCTGTAAAGTGACTGCTTCATGTGATTTTAGAATATGTGACTTATGTGTCAAGTCATCTGACCCTCCTTAAGCCAATGAAAGAGAAGCAAAATATTTTATTTAGAGATGGGGAGTACCCCAGCCATTGCCGTGTCTGCTCTTCTCCTCTGTCTAACATTCTCTTATAGAATGTAGCAGAAAAGTGGAGATTATGAACATCTTTTTTAAACGCCATATCTGTTATATGCACAGGGCCAACATCCAAGTTACGGTCAATATTCTAGGAAACTAAATTAGGTCACGAAGAAGGATCTGGTAAACTTTCAGCTATCTCAGAGGACATTGACTCATGGAGAACATTTGCAGGCCCTGGCTCAGAAAGAACATTTGAACATTTAAAACCTGACCATGTAGAGATGAACTTGATAACGAAGGTTTATTCGTCTCTAAATGGACATTATCCCTTTGACTGCTAGAAATGTGTGCTGAGCTTTTTATAAAACATTTTTAAATCACCAGCACTCTTCTGGTCGTCTAATTCCATAATGGCGTTTCACTTTCGATTTTGGGCACCAGATAGCTTTTTGGGTTCCATGATGTCACTAGACAGGATACAATAAACAAGGCAAATATTAATATTAATCAGATAAGGCAATTGGACTTGTAAAATATAAAAGAATACAAATATTGGGTATTTACATTTTCCTGGTGAATACCACAAGACTGATGCGTCTGCTTCTGTAATGTGTATTAGGTGACACTCGACCATATACTTTGCTCCACTCCTTGTATTGCACTGGTAAAAACAATGAAAAATGTTTTTTTAAACAGAGGTGTTCTCTGTTAATACTATACTGCAACTAGATTGCTAGTCATCACTTTAAGAGAATTTAATAAACGGAGTCTGCCGTATATAATTAAACGCATGCGCATTTATCATAGTAATTATAAAAAAGGGGAACTGTCACTTTCCAGAATTTTTATGTTTATTTATACCTACATTTGTTATACATTCTTTTTGCTAGTTTAACTCCATGCGGCAGACAAAACCACTTGCCATTGAAAGGGGTATGATCAAACCAAGTCAGGACATCCATAGATCAAAGTGTTTCATGTGACAAGGAACCAGAGAATGTCTATCCTGGAGTTGGTATTATGAACAATTGATTGGAATTTAAACTCCCTAATCTGCAGATGCATCGTCAGGGCTGGACTGAGACTAAAAAACAGCCCTGGAATTTTTTTTTACCAACCCTATCATGAATTGTGCCAGTTGTAAAACACATACAGGTGGAAAAATCATAAACTGAAAAGTATTTAACCAACAAGAAGGAACGTACTCACAGGACTTGAGCTGCTTTATTCTAATCATCTTACAGTCGACGTTTCAGCCCTATGACTCTGCCATCTTGTGAAAAGGGCAGTAATTGGAGGGAAACATTTACTGTATGCTTTTGAAGTCTGATTAAATAAACACGTTGTTTTGTTTAGTCCTCAATCCTATGAGTGCACTCTACAATGAATATAGTTTGACATCACTGCATGAAAGACTAGAAGACAGGCTAAAATAATCAGGATGTCACAATAGCTCAGTTGGAGAATTTTTCCAAATCTGCTATTTTGGTCTAAAATATCTAGTTCAGATTTTAGTCGTCACTTCATTAAATTAAACATTTAGTGAATAAACTTGGAACAAATGTGAAATCCTTGTTACATTTTATAAATATGAATGTGTATTAAGCATATGTACATGTCTATTAACCCCTTAAGGACCGGACAGTTGTACGTTTGTAACCAGGCATCTTTTTACACTTTTGTGGTGTTTGTGTTTAGCTGTAATTTTCCGCTCTCTCATTTACTGTTCCCATACAAATTATATATTGTTTTTTTCAGGACAAAAGGGGCTTTCTTTACACACCATTATTTATATAATCTCAAGTAATTTAATTTTAAAAAAATGAAAAAAATATGATGAAAAATAAAAAAATTTTTTAAAAAATTACTTTTACGTGAAAAATCTTTTACTCATCTACAAAAGCGAATGAAAAAAACTGCTAAATAGATTTAAAATTTTGTCCTGAATTAAAAAATACCCAGTGTTTACATGCTTTTTTGCTATTTTTTTTGCATGTTATAGAGCTATAAGTACAAGTAGGATATTGCGGTTTCAAAACATACATTTTTAAAATTTATCAATAGTGACATTGTAACACTATTATCTTTCATAAATCTCTGAATAACACCCCACATGTACATATTTTTTTTAAAGTAGACAACACAGGGTATTCAATATGGGGTATGTCCAGACTTTTTTAGTTAGCCGTTATATTTGTTTGTGTGTGAAAAAAGTAAAAAACTAAATTGAACGCTAATTTTGTCCAGTGTTTGTGACTAAGTGGTTACTAAAAAAGACTGGACATACCCCATTTGCAATACCTTGGGTTGTCTTCTTTTGCAAATGGTATGCCATCATGGGGTAATTCTCATTCCTGGGCTACCATACGCTCTCAAAGGCAACGTAACCAACCTGGCCATTTTCAATGTAAAAATATTTGACCCATATATTTGACCTTGTAACTTTCAAAAATGCTATAAAACCTGTACATGGGGGGTACTGTTTTACTCGGGAGACATCGCTGAACACAAATATTAGTGTTTAAAAACTGGAAAACGTATTACAACAATTATATCATCAGTAAAAGTGCTGTTTGTGTGTGAAAAATGCAAAAAAAAGTAACTTTCACTGACAATATCATCGCTGTGATATGTTTTACTGTTTTGAATCACTAATATTTGTATTCAGCGAAGTCTCCCGAGTAAAACAGTACCCCCCATGTACAGGTTTTAGGGTGTCGTAGAACGTTACAAGGTAAAATACAGTGCTAGCAAATTAAATTCTCTGGACTTTCGGCCTGGGTTGGCAGGCAGGTCCCTCAAATTGCAATCAATAAAATTACTTAATTACGTAAAAATCTTACATAAATACGCACGTAAAATTTAAATATATAAGCATATTTACATATTTGAAGTCTACGTGTATATTTATATAATTATTTATGTAATTTTGTATATGGACATATGTATATTTCGTATTATTTTTATTTATTTATATATACATAGATATATATATACAATTTCATTCTAAGCGTATTTTGATATAAATATATATATATTAATATCAAAATACAGTTAGAATAAAATTTCATATAGATATATAATTGTTTTTTAAATTTTATTATTATTTTTACATTTTTTTATTTAGTTTAAATTACTTATTATTTGTATTTTATAATAATATATATATACAATATATATAGTTATTATATATATTATATATATGTGTGTAATTTAATTATAAGTGTATTTTTATATTAATATATGTACATATTAATATAAAAATACACTTAGTATGACATTATATATATGATATATAGACATATATTATATAGATATAATATATGTCTATATATCATATATATATATATATATATATACACATATATATATATATTTTTTTAAATTAACATTAACTTTTATTATTTTTTTTTATTTTACACTAACAGGGAGACTGCCTGTCTGCACAGACAGTCCCCCTGCAGGCAGACACATGGACACCTATTGTGATCATGTAATCACTCTGTTGAGCGATCACATGGCCACAGGGGTCCTAATCCACCGTGGGGAGACTGTCTGGGCTGCAGGCAGTCTCCCCACACCGGGAGCAACGCCGATCGCTGCCGGGGGAACGACGGCGATCGGGTAAGTACCTATGACCGTTAGGACGGTTCAGGACTGTCACCGGTCGGCAATGTAAAAATGCAGATGACGGTCCTGAACCGTCCTCGGTCCTTAAGGGTTTAATGTGTGTGTGTGTGTTATATTCATGTTTGTAAATATAATAAACATAATAATTTATAAATTATGTTTGTGATATATACACATATATTGTGATAGTACACATATCAAAGGAGCACTATAGGGTCAGGAACACAAACATGTATTCCTGAGCCTATAGGGTTAAAACCACCATCTAGCCACCCTGTCCCCCTCATGCCTCCTTAAATATAGTAAATCTTACTTGTATTCAAGTCTGGAGCTTCTGGCGTTGTGCCTGTTTCCTTTAGACCTGCCCACTGCCTGCTGACATCAGCAGAAGTGGTAGCCTGATCCAATCACAATGCTTCCTCGTTGGATTGGCTGAGACTGACAAAGAGGCAGATCAGGGGCAGAGCCAGCACAATTCAAACACAGCCCTGGCCAATCAGCATCTCCTCATAGAGATGAATTGAATCAATGAAACATCTGAGGAGTGGCAACTGACATTATCACTAGGCTGTACAGCAAAAAGCCTGAAGGTAATGATTCTACTCACCAGAACAAATTCAATAAGCTGCATTTGTTCTGGTGGCCATAGTGTCCCTTTAATATACAATCGTGCATATGAATATAGGCATAATACTCCTCACAAATCACATATATTAAGTTAAACTATATTGTACTATTTTTTAAAATTAAGTTTATTATTTTTTTTATTTTTTTTAAATTCTTTATTTTTATTTGTGCAGATAATTACAGGTTAGCAACTGACGCCACAACAGCGTGTTCCAAGAAATTACAGAAATTAGACTGTGGTATAGAAGATCGCACATTTTTTTTTGAGATTGATAACAGGCTTAACTAAACGTGGTGTAATAAGGTGTATGTGGTGAAAGCATGTCTAGTCTGGGTAATGCTATACCCCTAGCTGGTCTAGAATAAGCTTAAGGGTGGCTTATTATGTGTCCCGAGGGTTATACTGAGCCTTGTATAAGTGAGGTGCGACTGACAAGAGAATTATTAATTAACACCTTAACTTGCTTGCTAATGTGTTTGAATCTGATATTATTAGCATTCAAACGATTAAAACCATGCACGAGACCCCCCTGTGATCCCCTTGTGTGAGCCAACACAACAGAAAATAATGAGGAGAAATTAAAAGTCATCAAATAACATAAACTGGTTGCGGATGTTCACTTGAGGCACATTGAATTAAGTCTTAGTGTCTGTAGGGTCAGCCGATGCCTTGTCTGGGCTGGGTGCACCCGTTCAGTGTGTGGGCTTAGGGCTCCTGTGTTTTGCGGCGGTGTGGTGGTCGGTGAGTTTAGTGCCCGTCCGGCCGTGTGTTGCGCTGGATTCACCTGCCTGGGGCTGGAGCAGTGCCATATGCGCCGTCTGGATGCAGGTGCCTTCCCGGGTCTTTTGCCCCTCAGTTTCGCCTGTCGGGTCGTGCTGGTCCTGCCCCTCCGGAGCCCAAGTCGCTGATGAGGGAATTGTGGGGGATTTCTCTGTGGTGTTTTCCAGTTTTTGGGCTCCGATCTGCAGCCATTCCCCCTGTTACTCGGGAGTGGTCTCGATGTGGCTCCCTGCCGATGTTTGGCTGACACAGGAGTTAAGTTAAGAGGGACTCCCACTTCCCTCCAGTTGATGCCTCTTGGTGGGGTGTACGGCCCATCGGCAGTCAGTGATACGTGTACTTGGGGCTGCAATCGAGCTTCCAACCGCTGCCAGAAGGAGGTGAAGATTGTAGTGAGTCGTTGCTCAGTTTCCAGCCAGGCCAGTTGTGCACATGCTTTGTGGGCTGTATCCGCCATTTTAGGAGACTTTTTGGCGGTAAGTGATGGTCTCGGTGTAGTGATCATTTTCTCGTCGCTTTGCATGGGTATCTTGCGGGGGTAGACCGGGATAACCCCCACCGGTCCAGAGGGGGGGAACAGGGGCTCATGGCTTGAGGCTTGATCAATCGTGGCGGTATGAGAGCGGCCGTCTCTCCTGTGCCCGCCATTCAGGTAGGCCTCACCTTCGTGTCAGGTGAACGGGGTTCAGTATGCCGCTTGTTTGGTATCCACATGTTCCCCTCTGTGTCACTGCACTCTGGGTGGACGTTCTGGCCCGGTTAATTGCCTTTTTGGCTTGAAAAATCGGCTTTTTGGCCGTGGTTCTCAGGAGCTGTTGTCATCAGCGTCTTCTCTGTTCCACGGTCAGGCCCCGGCCCCCAAGTTTATCATGTTAAAGAAAAACATATACATTTCAAATTAAATTTTTGATTATTAGATGTTCACTGGCACACACACTGGTATGTAATCACTGATGCTCACACATACACGCACTCACATACACTCATTAACATACACTGGCACACAAACATAATCACAATATATCTCATACAAACACTGTCACAAACACTGGCATACAATCACCAATGCATACTTACTGATATACACTGGTATACATACATACAGAAAAAAGTGACCTATACAAACACAGTGACACACACACTCACATACACTCATTAACACAAACTGACATGCACACACACTGACCCATACAAACACACTTACATGCACTCATTAACAAACACTGGCACACTGACCCATACAAACACTGACATTCA